TTCTCACCCGCAGCTTCTTGTCCCTGAACAGCAGTTTGCGTCCAGTCTCATTCAGCTCCAGCCAGTCAATTTTGGAGTCGTGGCTGATGGTTCCCAGATTGTAGCCTGCAGCCAAGTCCACTGAGAGGAGAAAACAAGCGACAGATTAACTGAGCGGCAGTGGAACTGCCAGCGCTTGGCTAAAAATGGCTTTTTATTCAAAATTAAAAGCCAGCCAGATAATAATTCAGCAGAGGGAGCAGTTTAACTACTTTAAAACCTCACAGCACCTGACTTTATATAACTCCACAAACATAACATTGTAACGTTAAATAACCGAGGTCCTAGGATTAAAATGAGCAGTTCCAGTGTGGTGTAAAATAGAAAATCCATCGTAAACATTGAGAGCTAAATGACTGCTGAAATCTGCTGAAGAAGCTGAAACTACGTCGTTAAATTTACACCAAGCAGAACAGAAGCCAAAATTAGCAAAGCTATAAGTAAAAAGTTTGAATTAGAAAACTGTTGCTAAAAACTAAAATCAGCAATAGCTAATAACTGAAATAATAAATCTATAGATATACACAAAATCAAAGCTAAATACTAAAGCCATCATAACCTAGGAGGGCGGGGCCTCCTGTGTATGCAGCAGTCTCATTTGTCTTGACAGGCGTGTTGAAAGAAACTTCTTCAGGTTGGACTCGCGAGGGCGCAATCCCCATACTACTACTGAGTTGTACCGAGCGTACTGACCGAAAGGGAACTGTAGCTAAAAGCTACAATTAGCAGAACAATGTTTATATTAGCAAACCTGTAGCTAAAAGTAACAAAACATATGTTAAAAATAAATGAACAAAACAATAGCTACAACTAGCACAAATGTAGCTAAAAGCTAAATGGCATAGAATGATAGTTAAATGCTAAAAGATGCAGAACGGAAGCTAAAAGTAGCTAAAAGTAAACAGTTAGTAAAAGCTTAAAGTAACAAAACAGTTTGTAAAAGCTAAATGGAGAAAAACAACAACTTAAAGGAGCAGAATTAAGAAGAATGTGGCTGAAAAATGTGAACTTGAATAGACCACCCAAAACTCTGGGAGCTCATTTTACTTTGTGGACAAACAGCCGACGGTGGAAAACCTGCATCCTGCTTTGTGACTGGACTACAATAAACCACCAGAGAAGAGACGCCGGGTCCTCAGAAGGATTGAAAACAGTGACGAGAACATCAGGGATGATTTCAAGTGTATGGAGGTCACAGCTTTATAGAATTTGTTCGTCTTCATTTATGATTTTCTCTGTAATTAACCCAAACTCAGTGATGCAGGACTTTAAGACGTTGTCTAGCTCTGTGTCTGATTTAAGGTCAGTAAGATTGTGTCCCACCTATTTTAACAAAACACCACTGACCTTATTACTGTGTAGACACTGATCCACCTCAGAGCTTTTCAGGTTGTTCATCACTTCACTGCCAGAAGAACTGAGTCAGTGAAGTAGCTAAATACGCTAGTAGATGTAGCTAAATACGCTAGTAGATGTAGCTAAATACGCTAGTAGATGTAGCTAATACGCTAGTAGATGTAGCTAAATACGCTAGTAGATGTAGCTAATACGCTAGTAGATGTAGCTAAATACACTAGTAGATGTAGCTAAATACGCTAGTAGATGTAGCTAAATACGCTA